AAGTAGGTCTGACTTCTGCAATCTTGTCAATCCAAATGAGACACTGAGTGTTATGAAGAGCCAGCATAGCACTCAGCTAGAAAATAACTGTGTGCTGGCCCCTACGTGCAAAGTGAAACTCATGGGGGACGTCAATCATCTCACCACTGAAACTGTCCTTTAGCTGGTACCAACATGCATAAGACTTGCCATAAAAAGAGTCTCATCCTTCTAAAGCTAGGTGGAGTTTCTGGATAGATTTATAGGCCTTCAATATCTATAACAAGGGGAAATCTAAAGAAAAACTAATAATAAAATTTATCAGTGTTTTTGATGACTTTATGCCCTAATATGAGAACTACAGAAAATATAAATTATTAAAAGAGGTAATAATACCATTATTAATAGCACAAAGAAAGAGGGTAGTTTCATAAGTTGATACAAATAAAGTCTTTTTTAGACTTTAAGTTGTATTGGAATTATTTAGAAATAGTAAAAATGAATGGTCCTTTCAAGCATGCTATGTGGGCATTTATTAACTATGTATGACAATGCATAGATTGAAATAAAATCTGACTATGATAATACCATCTGCAAAGACACAGCACATAGTCTATAAAATACACTGTGGTTTTAAAAACATAATAGCCTCAGATTTCCTTGCCAATTAGGAAGCAAGATTCACTACTGATGCTAAGGGAGTCAGTCTGAATTCAAGCTCTTGGTCAAGCATTAGAAGTGCTTTTCACATCTAATTGTGACGAGCAGGGAGCTAGTCAGGGACGTGCAACAGGATCTCCACACAGCACATTTTAATATGGCAGAAATTTTTATGGTTTTGTAATTTTCTTCAGTGGGGCTCAGGAGCCTGAGTAGAAAGGTACATGAAACAGTCTTTCACTGAATCAGTTTTGAAGATTTACCCAAAAGGACAAGAGGGCAAGAACATTGAGGGTACTGACAAGAGAAGAGGCTAAAGTGATGAATCATGAGGTTTAAGACGTAAGCAAAGAGAGGGAGTTAAGAAATTAGAATTAGAAAAATGCCTAGAAGATACAATAAGTTTAAAAATTATTGGACCTGGAAGAACAGAGACTTTATGGGGAAATAGTAAATAGAATAATATAAGGCTGAGGAGCAAATAAATTAATTTCAACCAATATTTATTGAGCATTTACCATGTGCGAGGTAGTACTGGACCCTCTGCTGGATATATAAGACATAGTCTCTGCCCCATGAAAGACAATTAACAAACAGGCAGGTAAAATTGATAGTAAAAGACATAAACTTTACTTAACAGCACAAAGGGAAGAGTAATTAATTTTGTTTAATTTTGTTTAGATAAGATTGGGGAAGGGTTCCAAAATTTGGCAATACTCAAGAAAATGATGTTGGACTAGTGTCTCCCTCCCAACAAAAAATATTAAATCACAGAGGAGATCTAGGAAACCAAAAGGTTTTCAATGTCAATTTTCAATGGTAAGGGTTAGGGTATAGACTGCAGAGCAGCACTGTGAGCTCGATGCCGAGGCCATCACCACAAGTAGACTGTGATAAGCTGGCACTTACAGTGCATAAGGAGCTTTCCCAGAAAGGAAGAGGGACAGGAGAGGAGCTCTGGGTGTCTGGCGCCCAGTGAAATCATCCAAGCTCAGATGGGCAGTGCAGAGCTCTGTAATGCCAACGGGCAGCTTACGGGTGTCAGGACTGGCACGGCTGGGGACACATGATGATGCATGTACATCTATGAGAACTCATGGGAGAAGAAAGGAAACAAGGAAATAATTTGCCTATTCTATGAGTCTGTCTAGCAGCAGCCAGGATACCAATTAGAAAATTAAATTTTAAGGCAATATCATATGACATAATGATTTTTATATTCTTAGTTCATGTAATCCAAGTGGATACTGAAATTATACGTCAAAATCCAAATAGCAATGATGATAAAAACATTATTTTTCTGAAGAATTACACGCATTCTACACATAGGTCCAAATGTAGTTTAAATTTATTATATATTAACTAATTTAATCCTCACAATAATCTTATCAGGTAGGACTATTTTTGTCCCCATTATTCAGATAAAAAAATGAGGCACAATGAAGTTGAACAATTTTCCCACAGCCATAGATCTAATATGCATGTCCAGCACCCGAGTTAAGCCTCTCAATATCAACACCACATTGCCTCTCTAAGTAGACTATAGCTCCCTGAATTAAACTTAAAGATCATGGTTGGGCAAGATAGTCTAGCTACAACCTTTGCTGTAAGTGAAACGTAGTAGAAAGTGAAATCCTGGACAGGATTACTAAACACTGATCCGTATACTCCACCTAAGCCTCTTAAGAATTTGGTGCGTATATCGGCTGAACTTCTCACTGTTCTCTGACAAGCGTCTAGAGCTTCAAAATTGACTACCAATAATCAAACTATGAATTTTTGAAAAGATCCAAAAAAATATAAATACCTATTTTTTTTAATTCAGGGGGAAAACGCCACCAGAGTCGTGACATTGTATTGTTCTCTTTTCGCTCTTCATTGTCGTAATTGCCATAAAATGCAGCAAGTGGTACCAACAGAACTAAATCTTCTCATTAAAATCCTAATGAAGCAATTATGTCTTCCTTTAGGGATGCCACAAGATGCTAAGACTAATAAGTTTATTTCAACTGAGCCACCAATATGAATGAAGCTCTACAATTCTGCATTTTGACTGTAATATATATATGAATCTTTCTCATTATTAAGACCTGTCCCCTCCCACTCAACATGGACATATCGACAATTCAAAGAATTACAAATGTACAAAGCAAGTAGAAATTTCCCCACAAGAAACATAAGCGCATAAATCAGGACAGCAATGGGAGCTCCTGCTATTTTAATGCATTTAGAGTAATAACATCTTCTCGATGTAATTTTAAAATGCAATTTTCAGCTTCTTAAATTAGTCAGTGTACAGCATGGTTCCTGACAGCACCTATGGATTATTCTCAAATGATGATAACAATGACAGCTCTTTCCACAAACAAGACAACCGGCAATACACTCACAACTGAAATAAGCTCATAAAATATTTTCATTGACCACCACCACCAAGTTAAAAGATAAGAAGAAAAGGTGACACTTCTAGAAACCAAAATTGCAGGTGTGACTGGGTCCCATGATGCTAGGAGAAGGACACTGAGTTGGCAAAATATGTTTCTTATTCTCTAGACAAAAATCAACATTCCAATTTCAAACAACTGTATAACTGGGCACAGTTGTTACATAACTATGAACACCATGACCCCCGAAAGAGTTAATTCACCAAATGGGTAAGCAACTCTGCCTTACATAAAGAGCTCTAAATTATCTTGGCTAAGGTAAACAGAGTCACAGTGTGGGCAATAATTCAAAATAGTAAACAGCAACATACATTTCTCTGAGCTTAGAGAAGCTTTACATGATTTATTATATTCACTGAACTTCTCTTCCAAATGATGCTGTGTTAAGATGGATGTTAAAAAGAGTGAGGAATACCTGGGCATAATGGAAAGACAGCATGGTGGAAAGCCATACGGGGAAAATTCGGTTAGGGAAAAAGTGTTCCACGATCCAAAATTTCCTACAAGTACCACTATAGCATGGATAATCAGTAAATGAGTAATTAGGCTTAATTAAACATGCATAGGATATTTGACCTATTTCTAATAACTCATAATTAGAACATGGACCCTTCTTTTACTTCCTAACCAAATAACGGATTGTTCACTTTATGAAATGCTACTAGAAAGTGAGATAATACATAAACCCATAACTGCTACCATAGGAAGTTTTTATAATTATGGTTAAGGATCAGTCTGTTTCATAAAAAAAGGCATGTAACCATTTAGAGAGGTTCTTGTATTGCAAAGCTGAGATAAGTGGATTTACTACTAATGATCATGTGGCCACTTACATTCTCATGAAATACCTCATTTCAACCAAAAATCAATAAGGAATTTTGAATCTGTTTTAATAATCTCCTTTAAGTATCATACTAAAAAGAACATAGCTGCTTGATCTGTTTAAATGACGCTCAGGAACAATCGGCTGCTTTTCACAGGAGCTGAAAGAGAAGATGGACGAGCTCCTGCCCTTGATCCCTGTGCTGGAACAGTACAAAACAGATGCCAAGTTAATCACCCAATTCAAGGAGGAAATCCGGAATCTGTCTGCAGTCCTCACTGGGATTCAGGAGGAAATCGGAGCCTACGATTACGAGGAACTACATCAAAGGGTGCTTAGCTTGGAAACCAGACTACGTGACTGCATGAAAAAGCTAAGTGAGTAGAACGATTACATTTGTCTAAATTGTGTTTTTAAGTAGTTTCAATGGAAACTGCATTCTTACATTTGCAAATAGTTAGAAATGCCTAATTATAGGGAAAACAGTGCCTGCTTTCTAAGTGTAAAGTAAGTGTTCCTTTAATGGTGTAAGCGTGCCTGGGTAATGAGTGTTATTTGACTAACAGTTGTCTAATTTTCAGATCACCCTGTTACCACCCAATGGTTTGAAATAAGTAGTCTAGCAAATACAGCCAATTCTATTGGCTACACTAACAGAAATAAGTTTCACCGAAGACAGCATGTTATGGTTAATTACTGCTTGGCCAGGGGAGAGAGGAGGCAATTCTGGTACTGGAGAAAGTTAGAGACTGGAAAAGAAGTTGTCCTGGGACAAAATATGAAACAGCAATGATTAAAGCAAACCATACTATGCAGAGTTACCATCAGCCACTCTCATCTGCTCAGGAGGTAAAAAGGAGGCACCTACTCAAATAAATATTCACTGCTCTGGAGGGCCAAGCGTGTGAGGTGCACATTAGGCTTCAGTTCTTGACTCAACCTGGTCTGAGTTTACAAACTCTTCCATTGCACCAATGTGCTAATTCTTCCATTGATGTCATCATGGAACTAATCTGTAACTTAATGTGAAATGAGGAGTTGTAAACCCATTTAGGAACAGTATTTTAGTTGCTGACATGATGTGACATGACCATAGAAAAAGTATTCTCTCAAGGTAAAGAACACTTTCTGGAATAGGAAATAAAATGGGAAGAGGAGTGAAGAATTTGAAAAACGTAATTTCTAGTAAAGAAAACTTCAAAGGATAAATATAAATGTTTAAAATAAAACTTAAATGAGTTCAAGAAGATTTTAAAAACTAATCTATGCACTCTGTCATTCCTAGCATCTCACAATAATCCAGAGCCACGGACTTTGCATCCTGAGACCAGGCTTCAGCTGGTTTCACTGTGCTGGTCTCGTGGATTGGAGAACAAATGGACTCTACTAATGCAAGGACAGGCGATAGAAAGGTCCTATCTAGTAAATACCATGAACCCAAAAGTGTGCCAGTTATGATTCTGAGGGATTAACATGGAAAAATCCCGGGGTCTGCTCAATTTCAGAAATGAACTTCACTTCTAACATATACTCTCTGAGCTGACTTTACTGGAAGTAACGTCCACTGCAGTTATGTAACTCTGCACTCGGTTCTTCTGTAACCCGTTTGTTTCTTCTAATCCACATGCAACCTGCCACATGCCATCGCCTCCAATATTGAAAACGACATTTGAGGCAAAGAGGGATAATCTAAGTGGACACAAATTCATCCTTTTTCTTAATGCTGAACCAGGGATAATGTTTCTATGGTATCCTTAAGCATTAGGACTATAATCTGCACTATATATCGAAGATTCTTTTTATTAATTCCAACCCCCCCAGACCATAGAGTTTGAAAGAATGTGACTCAAAAAACTGTATTAATTAGTTAATATTTCTTTTGATTCAACTAATCAAAAACATAAAATCTAGCAACCAATACAGATATCAAACATCAATAAAACTAGTACTCAACTTTCTTATTTAATGAGATGGTTGCTATTCGAGTCAATTGAAATGACCTTACAAAATACTGAAAATAGTTCTCACAAGTCATAAAGTCTTTCTAGATTACTAGCAACCCTCAGATCCCTGTTTACTTAGGAGAGAGGTCAGTGTCACAAGGACTCTAACTCATTTATGCTATTTGTCCCAAGGACTAGGTATTTTTCTTTATCATACCATGTTTATGTCAATTAATCAAAACCACTTACTGAGAGTCTCGTGAGCAGAGAAAGTATTTATCAGCTGGACCACAATTATCAATTACAATGTAGAAAGCATGTCTGGGCAGAGATAGAGCCCGAACACCATGAAGTGTGAAGCCAAATGTTCCCTGGAAAAGTAAATAAATGAATTTTCATATTTTCCATTAAAAAAAAATTCCTGCAATTCTAAAGAAGGTATCTGATAAGCTATATATATATTTGCAAAAGAAAACACAAACATATAATTTTGAGTGTGGCATTAAGTTACAGTTTGATTAACGTTTTACTTAGTATTTACATTTCTTGGGAATTGGTATAGATTGGACCGAATTATCTCCGTGAACTCTTTTAACTTCACGCCTAGTATTATCTCATAAGTGTGTGCCCAAATATCAAAGTATCAGAACACACAGACCCAGAAAATAGAGGTTAATCGACATCAGGACCATTAACAGGAAATGAAAAAAAATACATAAATAAATGTATCAGGGGCTCAGTGTTCCAATGGGGTCTAAAATCTAGTCGCTATGCTGCTCAGATTGAGAGTGGGACATTGGATAATTATGGTACCAGCAATATTGCAACAGGAGCAAGAAGGCTCATTTATCAGTGGCATCTTCACTCTTCACAAAAGCCTTTCAACACACATGACCAATTAGCAGACTGTAAAAATGGATTGGGGAAAGAAAATAAAATTACAACAATGATAAATGCATTTCCAGTCACCTTTTCAGTGGATTAGCTTTTAGGGAAAATGTCGCAGTGCATATCACATGAATTTTAAGATATTAAAAGAGAAACTAGCTTCACTGCCTGCAAGGCCTGATACTCCCAAATAGTAAAGAAGGTGCTATAGAACTCACAAGTCATTGAGAGTACTATGGTACCATTCAGCTTATTTCTACTAGAGAATTAAAGGGAAAATAAAAATTAGAAAAAATGCTTCAACAGAAATGCACCCTAATGGCCTGAGTGAGGTACAGTAATGCTCTTTCTTCAGTGCTTAATTTTCTCCTATGAGAGACTCATTAAAGTCCCCTGTGCTTAATTAAATCATATCAGGTCCCTCGATATGCCAAATATAATTATATGCACGTGAGAATTTAACTGAAAAAGCACGGTTAAAGCTCTAACCCCCCTCCCTGAGATCAACAACAGATATTTAATGTAGATCATAACCAGGCTTTCCAGTTTTCCAGCCCCCTATTCCCCACTGCTGCTTGGTAGCTCTATCTTAGGGTAACAGTTTGGTGCCATCTAGTGAAGTATAGGATGTATCTTTCTATTAACACAAACAGTTTTGAAGCTTCAAGTTTAACAAGTTATCAGCAGCATTCAAAATTTGAGGTCATAGTAATGAAACAGGTTATTGTCTTTACCATGCTTGTACCAAAGTAGTTTTAAAAGGGAATCAAACTGTCTATATGGTAATAGTCATATTTGCACATTCGACAAATATTTATTGAGTCCCCAGTGTGTGCCAGGTATTTGAGGATACAAACTTGAGTAGTAGACAGTTTCCCTCTTCTGTCAAGAAGCTTGCATTTTAGTGGGGACAATAAGCGCATAAGAAAGTAAATAAAGCAATGATGACAGCCTACTGTTTTACAAGCACTAGGCCAGCTCTTTCACTTGTGTTCTAATCACTGCAAGAACACTGGGTTAGGCATTATTATTGGCAACTTATCAAAAATGGATTTCTCAGACAGTTTAAATTAATTTCCCAAAGGTACATGTTGGAGACAATAACTTTAAACACAAGTCCTTCTGAGTTCAGAGACTGAGATTTCTCTCTCGCACATGATGTCTTTTGTCGGGTATATACAATAATAGAGAAATGCCCTGGACACCTCGATAAGTATAATTTAGTAAATGTAACTCAACTGCTGTAGAAAGAAGCCAGTCATTTTTGATTCTTCCCTGAACTTATTCGCATGCAATCACCACACCTTCCTTCTCCCCCGTCACCAATCTCTCAACACCACCTTTTCTGCATCCTCATTTGCACCACTCTGACCCAGAGCATCGTTCATCATCTCCCCGTTGGATTACTAAAATGGCCTAACCACTCCCTCTACCTGAAGCATTTCCTCTCCACCATGCTAGGGACTTTGAGTAATCTTTAACAAATGCAAATATAATCATAGTATATCTGTATTTAAGTGATTCTTCTTTTAAAATTAAATCTGAATAGGTTTGCGTGGTTTATCCTCATGACAGATTCGGCCTAATTCTCCAACCCTTTTCTGTCAAATTCTCACCATGTACTCACTCTAAACTTTAGCCATTCTAATATTTCAATTCCTCAACTGTGTATATGTTTTCTCCACCTCCTGGGCATTGAACTTCCTCTCCCCTTTCATAGAAGACTCTTCCTCCCCACTTCACCCATCCAAATTGTTTTTCACATTACATACCAGATATCAGCTTTTCTACAGACGTTCTCAGACTGCTCCTTAACATGGCTGGACTTCCTTTGCATAGTCTCCTTAAACTGAAAATCTTAATTTGCTTTTTTTTTCATCTTTACCTCTTAGAGACAAGTTTTCCTTGTTGTGACAGTTCACGGACCATCAGTGTCCTATTCCAGCTGAATTTTTATAGACTATCATAAAACATCTGAAACATAAGTAAAAATTAATGTCTATAGTCTTTGAAATCAAATATTTTTAAATTAAAGTTTTATGTTGCTCTCAAGAAGTAAATTAGTGTCTGTCAAATACAAAACATCTATATCATTTACAAAACAAAAAATCTTTTGGGAAAGAAAACAACAAAAGCACGGGCCTTTTTCACCTTTGTTTTTGTTGCCATCTGTTCTTTCTTTAATGATACTGCAGTATTTCAACCCCAAACACCTGATATTTGGCTTTACTTAGCAATCAAATTAAGAAATACGGAAAATCACTGTGAAAGCTGGAATTAACAGAAAAGTCAAACAGTGTACCTGGGTCAGATAGAGAGAAGTGAGATATAACTTGGAAATATAGTAGGGGAAATTTATAAGAATATCCCCTCAAATTAAATTGAGATCTTCAAATGAGTCATTTATCAAAGACAATTTTACTCTCCCTAAAATTCTAGACTGTAACATAAAATGTAATTTCTCTAGTGTTCACGCACTTGATGATGATGCATTCTTCTGGAACCGTGAGACACTTGTTAGTTTAGCACATTTTTAGGTAATGATA